TGGCAATCTACTGTGTACACACTGAACCCGTGCATGTTTGAGTTCCATGTAGAAAAGACATGCTCACCAGTGACTGTGGGCATTTGTGCACATTTGTGCTGGAAAACCAAAGGAGGGTTAATGGCTGCATCCACAAAATCAGTTCTGCCTCATAAAAACTGTCCAGAAAAAAAATCACTTTAATTAATTGCTTCATATTTTCCTTTTTTGTTCTTTATTCATGCTTAACTAATCCTGTAGTGGTGATCTACATGTAAGTACATTGTGCAATTTCGGCCTGATAAAGACAGTCTTTGTTTAAAGTGTTCGGAACTGCCTTGCTCCCTGCTGTCACATAGATTTGTTTGTTTGGTTTCCCTGAATGATTTCTCATTACTAAAGGATACCCAGAATGCAAACCCCAGGCACCAGTACATAGATGAAGTGATTGAATGTGGTGTATCACTCAGCACCATCGATCTGATCCTTGCTACAGATCCCAACGCAGAGGTATTAAATTCTATTCTTTCTGAGAACTTTTCTTACACTCTCCAACAAAATTTGGCTCAGTCAAAATGAGCACATAATGGTTAAAGAATTAATAAACTTAACTGGTGTTTGTTAAACATATCCCCCAAATTTCCTTTCACTTTTCCGGTAAATTTTTAAAATTCGATCTATGGAAAAACTTCATTCCAAATCTTCATTGTGTCACCGTGTGAAGATAAATTTGGCTTGATTTTATTATTATTAATATACATGTATTGTTATTAGGTAATGTTTTGCTGGTACATTTCTTTCATAGGATTACACATAAAAGGCAATTCTAGTTTTGTCTCCCAGTCCTATGATGCATTGTGCATGTCCAAAAGATTTATCATTCCAAACATCAAAATATTTGGCAGAACAAAAATCTGCCGATGAAATTAGGCTATCATGACTCAGTGCAAATAGATGCCGACACCCAACCATGGACCACAAATTATTCATAAATTGTCTTCAGTTTTCTGCCTGTGCATCTGTATAAACATTAAAATGTTTGAGATGTTTTCCAAGATATTTCAGCCAAAAGCCACCATTCACCAGGACCGGTGATGTGTGTTGAGAGAGTAATGCCAACTTCAGACTTTGGAGCCTACATGGCTTTTCATTATGTGCACTGTACTGTATGCAGCTATTGTGTGCTAATTGTCCATGTGCACCGATGCATAATCCACCATTTTGGTTCCAACTATTGAGACACTGATGCCACATTTCTCCCTATAAACAGCTCTGACCCGGACAGACCGAGGGCATATTCGAAACCCCGTTCTCGTGTTAGACGAACAAGAGAACGGGGTTTCGAACGGGAAGAATCAACACGCGAACATTGTCCGCGAACAAGATTCTCACTCCTCACTCTCTGAGGAGTGGATGGAGAACATCAAGAACAAAGATGGCGGATACAGGCACATACCGTAACTTAATGTTGGTTCTGTTACATCAATAGAAAACACTCACAGAAAATAAACCCAGGGAAAATACTCCTGGCGATAGGAGAGAATTTACCCTGACCATTTAATATGAATATTTGGGGTTTTTATTTAATGTGAGATAGTAAATGTCATGCCATCTTTTCATTTGGTGTCAAAATAGCGACTGCTATCTTGACCTTCCGTGCAACTACATTCCTTTTGCACTTCGGTGTTCTTAATCAACGACCCAAGAACACTATTCATTAGTCCCACAAGAATGGGGTTTCGAATACGCCCCATTAACCAGATATGAAATTGATTTTACTTGATAGGAGCTGCTGTTCAGGAGCATCCACAAGATAGCCCGAGAAGGTCATTACAAGCTGGCTGGCTACCTTGTTGATAAGGCTAGGAAGCTTAGTCGCCTTGGGTTCAATAAAGTCCACCAGGAGGTGAGTTTAGAATCAAGCCATTCAGTTTGCTCAAATACGCTTTAATATTTGTGCTGGTTCTTTTTTAATTCATTAAAAGCCGTGAAAAATGTTGTTATTTATAATTGTAGATCAGAAGCTGTTTGTTTCACCTGAAATTGAAATTTGCCCTTTGACCTTGAGGACCGAATGCCTATGCGCAGTAGCGTACAGTGTACACAACGGAATTGAGAACTGTTGATGAACAGTAGGAAGATATATATGCAGTGTTGGCAACCATAATGTTGAAGAAAGTAGTCTCCTGAATGTGTTCAGGAGAAGTTAATGCAGTTCATGAAGCATGAAACGTTATCCATCTGACACATAGTGTCTGCGTGGATAAAGTTGACTGTCGTAAATTCTCCCCAGACTTGGGGTGTACTTCTTTTAGCAAGATAAAGGGTTGTAACATATGAGGAAGGCGTTTCAAAATCTCTTCTCACTAGGTCCTACTAGCAGAGCGGCCGGAGGACCTGTCTCCTTGCTTGACAATCTCGGTCAAGAAAAAGGCGTACTACGAAGTGGATAAGGTTAGTCTTTCTCTTAGGCATCGAATTGAGAATGACAATTGGCAAATGTGTACGTTCTCATCAGAGAGTGTTGTGTTACAGGGACAGTGTGTTTTTTTGCGATGAGCTAAGGAGACCTCCGCTGGGATTTGGGCGTGTGACGAACACTGTAAATGTGCTGTTGAGAAGAACCTATGTCATGCATATTCGATTGTCGCAGACACCCTTACTCTAACTGGCGTGCCTCTGATGGACCTGTGTCTAATTTGGGGAAGCGGGTTAGCGTAGCGGTTCTTTCCTTGCTTTGCACCAATGAGGCCCGGGTTTGAGTCCCGGCTTGGCCCAGGCTGTAAGTGCATTTGGTTTCCAGCCCATACTTCCTCTCGCAGGTTTTCTCCAGGTACTCCAGCTTCCTCCTGCCTATAAAACCTGGTATTTATTGTGATTGAAATACCGAATAAATCAATCCAATCAAGGGGATTCAATTTTTCTCCTGTCGTTAGATCACCCCGGTCCACTTTGCTGCTATAAACCCCAATCCCAAGATTCTGGAGAAGCTGATGTCCATTTTGCCGGAGTATGCCATCGAGGATGATTACGGTCTGAGACCAATCCACTATGCCGCTGCATGTGAAGGGAGCGGTCCACTTGAGTTCCTTCTGAAACGGTGAGAAACTTGACATTTTCCATGATGCTGTTTCACTTCAGTGTTCTATTTCAGTTTTGTGCTCTGCTGTACTTGAACCATGAGCAAGCTTGGCAGTTACCACAAACCCAAACAGAGCTGGGTTTTTTGGGACCATCTTGCCTCCAAAGTGTCAGTATCAAAGTATGTGTTCATTACAAATGCACCTGCAAAACTTCAGTTCAGTAGGATTTAGTTGACATTCGTGGTTCATACACATGTCTCGGGCATGTTGGTCAACATGCATTGAGGACGTTGATGGGAAAGTTAACATTTTCGGCTGGTAGGTGACAAACATGGGTGTCTCACAGGAATTGTACGTATATATCTAATTTTCATAAATTTGGTGTCAAAACTTAGATATCACCGGGAAAACTCCTGGAGGCTCAGCACACACAAAAGAAATGCATTGCAACAGTACTGGAGAAACCGTGACATTGTTAGTTCTTGGAAGCATCATACTCATTTGCATAAATATGCAGTGTTTTATTCAAGTCCATCACAAGTCCTTTTACAAGTCCCTTCACAAGTCCAGTCGTAAGTCCCATCACAAGGCCAGTCCTTAAGTCACAGGGTGATCACTGACAAAAGAATGCCTTTGTCACAGCTCATTTGAATAGCTTGTGAATTGGTTTAAGACTGAATGACTTATGATGGACTTGTGATGCAGGCCCGTGGGCTGGGGGGGTTCAAGGGATTCGAACGAACCCCCACCTCGCTTCTGAGTTCCCCTTGTTGGTGGTCTTTTTTTGTTTGTACTGAATATTTTAAATATACCGTAATATTCGGCATACAAGCCACGGCTTATGCGTTGATTCTCAAGCTGATGGTGGCCACGATTCTGCATATTAATGAGTCAGTACCCAGTCATATGTCCCGTCAGGAAGTTCCGGCCAATATCCACATTTCAGGTGTTTCAAAGGGTTTGAAATCAATGTATTTTTCTTAAGTTTATTCAATATTGAAAACTACAGTGTACAAGTCTTACATGCAACCTTTGGTTCGCGACAGACATGCAACTTTCCAGTGTTGTTTTACAAAGCACATTGTTATAGGCCTTTGTATAAAAATATGTGTTCACAGTGCCAAAAGTTCCACTTTTGGTTTGATGAACCGCCCCAGTCTCTGGTCAGGCAACGGGCCTGGATGGTACAGGGACTTGTAGGGATTTGTGATGAACTCAACTACATGACTGTTAATATGTAAGTCAGGGATTAAGGAATTTGAGTTACCATGATTATGATTGTCTGCAGTTTATAAACTAGAAATGTTTACAGTGTACTGTACTAGTGCACAGGCACAAGGTACACTGAGAATTAACCACTGACTTAAAGTAGTGGTCCTTCATCAAATTTCCTCCATGCACAGTATTCTGTAACCTGTCCAGGAAGTGTTAAAATGACCAGGTTGTTTGCTACCTGTGGACTTTCCAAGTCAGTAGTCTGGGAACTAAACAAACAGGCACTGATGACGGTTAGCCCTATTGGTTCCACCAACTTCTGTCTTAGGTTTGCTAAAGTAGTTTACAGTAGAAATTACAGCTCACCTCTGAAATATTGCTTCTACCACACCAGTGCTTGATAATTTTTCAGAAAAAAAATACAAGCTTATCGAAAAATCATCTTGACCGTAGAGGTGTGAATCCGGAAGAGAAGCACAAGGGAGGCGTCACCCCACTAATGATTGCCTCAAAACGTGGACGAGCACAGAACGTTGAGGTCCTACTCAAGAAGATTGAAGCTGACAGTGAGTGTCATTTAGCCAGTGTATAGCCATTCCATTGGATAGGCATTTAATTGTGGAGGGAAAGAGGAGGAAAAAATAAATATTACTTCCAGAGATATAATTGGTCTTTGTCTGTGATCTCAGAGCAAGACAATTTGTGCTTGATTTGAAGAACCAACTGCCAGGGGTGAGATTTCTCAGCTTTTTTTTAGCTGATTTCAGCTTTTTTTGTTTTGGATTTCAGCTTTTTTTCTCACTGGCTGTGTTCAAAAGTATAGGAGATTTTCACAGTTCAGTTACTTTATGCCTTTTTTTTGGCTGTTTTCAGCAATTTTTATCGTTGGTCAATCTCACCCCTGAACTGCAGTCAACTTTTGTTTTCGTAGTCTGAACTGGGTTTTGATAAAAGTTTCCACATTCCCTTGGGCGATTCTTTTCCTGACCATATTTTGGTGTACTGAGGACCACAGTAGAAGGGGATTTTGGAAGTAGCCATCAGCCAAAATCGATCCAAGTAATGGCAGAGATTAAGATTTTGATCCAGTGTCTGACATTTTCCAACCACACTTACCCCGTTTGTCAGAACAAAGTTGGACAGCGCCTTGCAATTGACAGATTGGTAATTGGTAAATGGTAGTCAAAAGCGGACGATGTCCAGCCCTTTTTTTATGTCTGATTCTTAACCTCTGAAGGCTGTCTTCTTTGATCCGAGTCCTGAAGCTAAAGGGCAGAGATTTACTTTTCCTTTTTTTTTTTTTTTTTGGTAGGTGAGCCAAATGAGCAGACTGGGGTACGACGGAAGACAGCAGGGGGAAATCTGGCTATTCATTTTGCAGCTGAAGGGGGGAACGTCGTAAGTGCTTTTTTGCCATTACTTGCTAATGCGGTTTCATTTCTTTAAATGAAATGGGTCACGTGGACCACATGGCCCAGCCAGGGCGCATTTTGTTCAAATACCAGACAATTGCTGAAGCACCAGCGGTCGCAGATCATCTCCATTTAGCCTTTCATTTGTCACATGATCTTGCCCCATGATGTGGCTTTTTCCTTCGAAATGTTTCTAAGTTTTGCATGTATACCAAGAACCCTTGAGTCAGTCCCCACCAGCTTCGCATCTTTGCCATTGAGGGGGTACTTCTTCTTAGCACAGATAGACTTCATGAGCTCTAGTGTATGGAACAGTGTTCAAACATTGATTCACTCGTATACACATTTAACCAAAAAGTAGCCAAGAAGGTGTCATATACTGTTCACTTGGTGAACGACTAGTTCTTGGCTGTCACAAGTCTTGGTTTCTGGGACTAGTCGTAGCCAGTGCATGACTTGTTCTTTGATTAATAACGGATTAGTAGTCATTGGGGCAGGATTTTTGGAAGTGATAAAAGAGATCAATAGTTTGGACCTCATTGATAAATGTTTGTGCTCCCCTCCTTTGTAAAATTGCAGGATTGCATCCGTAGTCTAGTCAACCATGGAGCTGACATCGAGTCCAAGATGGGGTCTTACCACAACAAGATCACCCCTCTCATGATAGCTACGAAATACGGTCACTTTGAGCTGGTGGAAGCCCTGCTAGACATGGGAGCGGTCATCCAGCAGAAAGGTATGGTCTGAATGAACGTCCTGTGGGCTCGGCAAATCTTTGAACCTGCCTTGTAATACACACATTCATGATTCTGTGACGGAACTTTTTTCGTTGTGGGTGTGATACTTGCTTGTACTGAGTTTTGTGCAAACCCCTGGCATCTGCGTGCGAGATGAACACAACCAAGTCTAGCTGCATGGCCACAGCTCGCTTTTCAAGCCGTTTTGGTATTTTACACTCGCAGTTTTCATCAGTTCAGACTTGATTTGTGATTCAGTGAAATTGCCCTCCTTTTTTTAATACGAAAGTTCGTCACCATTGGGTGTAGATTTTTATTAGCAGTGGGAATGAAGGTAACCGTATGCATTTCGTGTTTGATTTTTAAAGCGATTTGGTTTCCATTAACACCTACCCAAAAGGTGAGATACTGAAGGAAATGACCATACATCAAAAGAAAGGGTATGAATTTGGGTGTTATTTATTTTTAACTTCATTTTCTGCTTAAAAGGTTTTGGCCCAAAATTCTCATTCTTGCATGAACATTTTTAGGCAGGCCCTGGCAGCCGCATGTTTTAACGGGCCTGAGCTGAGAAGTGACTGAAATCACCATACCAATTGACCAGTGTGAAGAGCATTTTGAGTGGACCCTGTGGTCACGGTGGTGTTCGTTAATGGCTTTGTCCCCTACTGATTCCATATCAAAGAATTTTTTTTTAAATGCGATGCGAAGAGTGTCTGAATTTTTTATTCTGCTTCTAGCAATATCCAACTTGGACAAACAGAAGTCGTTTTGAGTTCTGCTCATATATAAACCAACTCCAGCAAAAATTACCTGTTGCATTGCACAGCACTAGGACTCTTTTTAAATAAAGCTAGAAATGATGATGTCACAAAACAACTCCTTAATCAGCATTCGGACCTGTTTTGCATTCAGCGGCTTCCCCACATCGTAATTGTGATTCTATTGTGATATTATTGAGCAGTGGTCATAAAATGCCCATTACAGATTCGCCCAGTTACTGGTTAGAAAGCATGCAGCAGCATTCAAGAAAATTTCCAAAAAGGTTGCTCTTGACTCATCTTTGGAAATGACCATTTTTCGTAATTTTCTTCAAAATAAAAGCCTGCCGAAGTGATAACTTCACAGGGAGTTTAGGGTCATTGCTTAATTTAATCTAATGATAATATAATCGTGTGATTTACTGTAAACCTCGGATAAGTCAGATTTATTTATTGTCGGATTTTCACTTACCTCAGAGAAAGTTGCTTGGAACATTTGATTGTTTATGTTGTTCGTATTAAATTCCTGGTCTAAGTCACATCATGAAAGTTGGATATTCACTTTTCTTGAACAAATCAACCTGGACCATTTGTTAAAATACTGTAATTTTTACCTCTTTTAAGTCAAATTGACCTTTTTAAAATATTTTTGTACATGTATTCATTGCAGTAAACAGGGGAATCTTTGGAATTTTCAGTATTTTCTGGTCCAAATCAATCATTTTGGCACCGGCTCCGCTGGGTTTTCACAGCAGCAATACATGTCACGACACGTCATGTGGACCACACGTGTACACATTGAACTTTTTAGTAGCAGCCAATAACCTTTCCCTGAGCTCCATCTCTTGCTCCACTCCTTTTACCGTACTGAATTAACGAACTTGATTTCCGGCCAGCGAAATCACAGTCTGTGTGCCCACATGATCAAAGACTGCATTTTTGATTGGATAAGGTGGCTTGGCTAAGCACGGCTCGCGAAGTATTTGTACATTATGACTGCTCTGCTCAAGGTACGGTACTAACTCATGTGGCACAATTGGTGAAACGTGCTTTGATTTTCTGTTGTACAGTACATGTATGTGTAGTGTGGAAATAAATCATGTTTGATGTCGGAAACAATGCATTATTACTTTATTTCATGCCTTGTGGGCTGTGGCCATTATATGGCTGGCAGTGAATGACTGAGTAAAATGCATGTTGTCATCTTCGTGTGCGTCAGTATTAGTCAGGTTTTTGCCTAAATCAGATCAAATCGGTCTGTCCCATTGGATCTGACTTATCCGAGGTTAAATGTACATGTAGCTATAAATGGTCCACTCTAGCTTTTCTTGACAATACATGTAGTTATCCCCCAGCTGTTGCATATATACAGTATCATCATTGGCAATTTTTTTTTTTGACGTTCAGACAAATTCAACCGGACTGCCCTGATGCTGGCCTGCATGAATGGCAACTACCCAATTACGGCCCTCCTTCTGAGGAGAGGAGCCGACCCCAATTCCCAGGATTCCTCAGGCAACACTGCCACGCACTACGCTGCTGCTTATGGCTGGTGGCACTGCCTCAACCTACTGCTGGAGGCGGGTGCTGACCCAAACGTCCCCAATGATTGGAAGGTATGACAGCTGCAGTGGGTCCTTGCAATAAAATTGACTCAGAAAGTCTTCTTATGCAACTCCTCTTGAATCTGAAATATTTGACACTTCATGTTGAAAAGAGCACTTTTTAAACCTTTAAAATTGTCCGTGCCTTTTGGGACAGCTGAGGGTACTATTGGTATAATATCATTCAGGGAAAACTCTGTTCAGTTTCTGTTCAAAATGTGAATGTGAAAATTGATTCCAAAATACCTTTTAACATTGAATGAAAATTGAATTAAGGTTAATTAACACAGAATGTTGCATTTTCAAGTGTGGTAAAAGTTTGCACAGTACAGACCTTTAACCTCTGAACCCATGTCGAATCAAATGGGGACAGCCTTCTTACTTTGGGTTTTTTTAAAAAAGGGATGCAGTGATCGGTATGTTTAATTGAAAAAGATTATATATTGAAAGAAATACGACTCCTAAGTGACTTGCCTGGCAGCATGAAAACTTTGGGCTCTGAAGCAACTTAAAAACAACTCAACTTGTACCGGTAGCTTAGAAAGCTTTGTATAGGGACCTATTGCATATTTCTATTGCATGCATTTTTCTATAAAGCAATCATGATTATTAACCACTTCTTGCCCGTTGCAGTTATCAATGTTAATGATGCTAGGGCGGGATAATTTCCTTTTCTTTTTTTTTTTCAAAATTGGTTTTCAAAATTCATATCTTCATTTACTGGACACTTACACCCACACAAAGGACTGTCTTGTTTCTACTCTAATCTGACAGACAACATCTATTGATGCTGGAGTATTTCAGCCAGGCCTGCCGCCTTGTAAAAAGAGCCCAGATTGTGCGGTGTTATATAACTTTCTTTTGTTCACGAACCTTGCTCAGTGCACTGCTGACCTCTTTTCAATAGGGGCCAGATTAGCATGCAGCGGTGCTGTGTGGCTCATCGCTGCAGTAGTGGAGCGCTTTTGTCGCCGGTGGTAATCCGCTCACTCTAAATGCCCCAAACCGTGGTATACTGTTTCAAAACAAGGCTGGATTATCTCCACTATGGAGAGTAAAAAAATGTCGGTAATTCCCAGCAGCCTGGTCTTTTGTTCCGAGTACGGTCTTTTCTTACTTGGTCCAGTTCCTTTGTCTGAGTTCGGAGACCCCGGCCACGCATATAAAGTACACGTGTCCCGTACCGGAATCCCCGGCAGGAAGTGGTTATTGTGAAAGCTTGCTTTGGCCCTCTGAAACAATACATTATTTTCGTTAATATGAAAAGCCTGTTGAAAAACAAGTGCTGTATCTCTTGCCTACCTGTGGCTTGATAGTCCATGCTGTATGTATGTACACATCTCTGGCAGGGCCACATTAGTTTTAAAAACAATGACCACATCTACTATACTTCCTGTGGACTTGTCGCTATCTCGTCATCACAGACTCCACCCCTGGGCGTGGCCTTCATGAAGGGCCACATCGGCTGTTCGGACCTGCTGCTGGGCCAGTCGGCTGTGGATGTCAACTTCCGAGACAACAGCGGCGCCACCATGCTGTCACTGACCGCAGCCAGCCCCATGACCAGCGACATGGTTGGGCAGATGCACTACCTGATGGGGAAGAAGGCCGACCTGACCCTGGTGGACATTCACGGCCGGAACGCGGTATGCACCCATTAATCATTGCCCATTCATAGGGCCTCATTCCCAAGGGAACTTCTCGAAAGTTGTTTTGTGTACTCCACCCCCGATACACTCCTTATGGAACACTACTAGTTTCCTCTTGGAATTTTGCCATGTTCCGAAGTAAAGCATGCAAGAGCATTGACCACGCATCCCATTCAGGAACAGGCCTTGTTCCCAGTGGTAACTGCAGGCATTCCCAATTACCAGTTATAGGGCAATGTTCTTGTTGGATCTGTAGTTTTCTAACTCTTGAGACACTCCCTAATTTGTAATGGATCGTGTAAAACGTGACCAACTTTTCAATGAAATTCATTTTTTTGGGATACAGCATCCACCTTGTTAAATGCGCCAAATTCCACGCAGGGAGATTTTTTTACTGGCAAGAATGTGGCTAGAGGGATGCTTCAGTAATTGTGTTCCAGACCTCTAATGCACATTCTCTTCCTCACATGGAATAGGCCTAAAACATAATGATGTAACGTAATGTTTACTGCAGTGCATTGTGGGTGAAAAGGGGGGATAGAAATCAAAGATGGCGGGCCTGATCATCAGTCATGCAAGCCTTTGTGCAACTTTAGACAGAGCAAACTTGCGGTCTCGTGGAAGCTTGAAAAAAAATGCAGCTTTGGTGTTCGTTGTATGCTTGACACACATAATGGCACACTGCAGCTAATACAAGCCATTTTAGAAAGTAAAGGCCTTTTCAAACTTTTTATTTTTGACAACTTTCCATGCGCTTGATGTTTTAGCAGTAGCATGCGTACTATCGTCCTTACCTTTCACCCGCAATGCATCATGGTAAACACTGCATTATGCCAAGTTTGAGTTCTAGTTTTAAGTCTGTGCTGAACATGATTACCAGCAGGGGTATCTCCTTGCAAATCACTAATCTCCAAGATGACGATTTGCTTGCTTCAAATGTATGACCGTCTCACTAGGAATCTGTCGCAATCTATACCGAAGATTATTTTGGTTTGCCACAACATAATAGCTTCTTCAATCCTCTTTGACCCTGTGTAGCTTCACTACTTGGCAACAAGCGGTTTACCCAGCAGTTACAATGTAAGTTCATTGGGATACTTTTTGACTTACCAAATGTAGAAACCTTAACTACACATAACTGACAATCTGAGTTGGCCATCATTATTTAAAAATACTTTGGGAAAATCACGATACCTGCAAATGTTATTTGTTTCTGAAAAAAAAAAGTTTCTTTCAATTTGTCCATGTTACATAGACCCCTGCAGTTTTGACTTGTACAGCCGTCATAAGGCATATTGTCTTACACAGCATTTCCGAACAATTCCATGTAATTTGTGGGTTGATTTTGCAGGATAAGATCAAAAATGCTGTGGAGACTGCCAAACTGGATATGGCCAAGTTACTGATCCAGAAAGGATGCAATGCCTCGGCCAGAGACAAAGATGGAAACACTCCCATCAACATTGCCCTGCAAGAGGTACATGTCTTTCCGGTACTTGAAGGGTCTTTGAGATGCATCTGTTTTACTACAAACCTTGAAAATGCACCATTGTGCTTCAGTTTTTGTGGCTGTTTTTGCAGCTTTTTGGTTTTCATGCTAATTCAGATTTCGATATGCCAGAGCAAAACTGTGATGTTATTCCAGGGAGAACACTTCAATGCTGCATTAATTTGTTCACCAAAAATGCAAGGAATTTTTGATTTGTGTACTTTGCTGCTCTAAAGTTGCCTTTTTTGATGATTCGTTGATTTTTAAGTACATGGCAATAAGCCAACGAGCAATGTTGACCTTTCTTAGAAACGCTTTCAGTTAGTAAACTTTGGGCTCGCAATTTGAACAGAAAAACATGCTAATTTTGAGCAGGGTTTTCCTGATTGACATCACAGCAACAGGAGCCTTCTGTTGTCCAGAAAAGTATGGACAATTTTAAATGCTTAAAAAAGTGGACTTTTCATAATAACTCCAAGAGCCTATCAAATTCGTTTCAGACATTGAAGAAAATTATCAAGTCACAAAGACAGTGAATCTAAGAAAATTCGATCACCTGGGCTCTCTAATGGATAATCTAGTGTAAACAGTTATAAGTGCATGTTTGCCAGTGTTGACAATCAAGGCAATATCTCACTCACTGGGCCAATGTTTTCACATTCATTCATGTCCCATGACCAATCTTTTTGAAGCTTGGCAGGCATGCAAAGATATCCATTAAAAACTGTGAAGTTAACATTCATAGGACATTAACAAAGAACATAGGGTTTTGTTTCTATGGTCATAAATAGTATGCACAAACAGTGGGCCCGGTTTTCATAAAAACAGTTTCAAAACAATTTGCAATCAACAAACTTCCGAGGCTCAGCATGATAAGAAAAAAATCGCACTGCGGTGGGAGCACAGAGAATGTACAGAGAGAGTGGATTCACCTCTACCTTTCTAGCTCTTTTCCAGGTTAAGATGCTAATTGTGTTTGGCTTCACACTTCTTTTTAGGCTGGGAGCGGTTCCATGGAACTGGTCAAACTGCTGCTGGACGAAGGGTCCAGCCTGTCCCTGAAGGAGAGAGAGGACGATGGGGGAAATGCTCTGCACACCATGGCCAGGAACTGTAGGAACATGAACATGGGTGTGCTGTTACCCATCGCTGCTAGGAATGTAAGTGTTGAGTGACAGTGAAATACTGCTTATTGACGGAGGACAGCAATTGTTTGGGCTGCCCAGGGGTGAGAGTTCTCGGGATCTTTCTAAATTTCAGGATTTCAGATGCCCTCGGTGGACATATTTATGCCGAATGCACCACTGAATGAATGATTGTTCCAAAATCTTGGATTTTTATGGGTGCAGTCATTCAAGTTTGCTATTTTTTTTCACTTTGTTCTACCAAAAATCCAAGTGCAAGGTTCACTTGGAAAAGGAAATTTTGAAGTGGTATCCAATGCAGTCATTGTAACCATGGCAAAATGGGAATAGTGGTGCTGCACGTATTTAAGAGTTAAGGGTCAGAAAGAAGTGGCTAAATGCAACCATGTAGAGTACTGAAGTGTGACGTCACTGTGAACCCTAAAGAGCATTGCAAACAAATGGAGTACGCGCGTGTTGGTTCACGCGCTGGTTCTTGCGCTGATGCCTTTTACACACTAATTGTGGGTGCGACGTATTCTTTTCGGTACTCTCCCAGCAACTGTGAAACCTACTGTGATTGATGCAAAGACGAGCATGTTTCTACGATGGTTCTGCATGAGTGTCACATCTTTGGATTGGACATTGTACCACGAGGTTCAGGGTGTCATCCAGGAAGAACGTATTTGCTTGTCCTTTCGTATGCAGTGTTAAAAATTGCCTGTCCACGCCCACGGCAAACCTTTGGAAACTGTTATCCCCTGGAGCTATCTGAGGCCATATTTTTATTATGCCAAGTACTGTTAGTAGAGTTATAAAGATTTATTCACCAGTGTTAAAGAATTGTGATTTGTAAAATTACTATTACTTCTGTAGAAGCAAAAAGTGCCTGTCCTCAGGCCATGACAATTTTTTTTTTAGCTTGTCCGATTGCGCAGGCCATATCATAAATTTGCTTGCCCTAATTAGATCAACACTTACCCCAAGACTTCTCTGAATCCACCATTATTATGTTTATTTAATTTAGGCCTACTGCATGCATGCAGTCTTTTATTAGGCCCCCAAAATAGTTGTGCTTCCAATTACATGCCTCTTAAAAATAGGGTCGGTAGGTTGGAAATTTTTTGTTTTTGGTCAATTTTTTTTTCCTGATTGAATGGCATGAACGGGGACGACAGCTTCCAAAATTATCTCAAAAAAGTGATAAACACCTGTCTTAAGCTATGTAAAAATTTCTAAAGGCGACAATTCACAAGAATAATGGGCAGTTCACACAGTGTTACTCAGGCAGTAAGGACGGCAAACTGGCCAACAGTGTCCGTGTATCGAGTGGTAAGCGTGTGTGAGGCATCCAGACCAGTGGGTGAAAAACCTTGTGCCGCGGCAGGAAATTTGTTGAAAGATGCTCGCTTCGAGTACGAGCAAAACAAACTCGAATTAAACTCATGAACACAGGAAATACACACATAAATAAGAGACCAAGTTCTGTGAAGGAACTTACAGAAAACCTCTGGCAACATAGATATTTTGAACTGTGGCTTTAGGGTTTCGTGCTTATATGGCCGATTTAGAGTAATCAACCGGAATGCACAGTACATGTATAGACTGGTTCTGGTTGTTATATTTCTTTGCATGGGTGCGGCGGGAACCAGAGCAGCTTTGTTTAATGCATTGAGCTGTGGGCACGTGTTTTCATCACTGCGACAGCGAAACGTGAATGAGAACTCGTGAAAATAACAGAAATATCTTTCCAAGAATTGCAAGTACAAAAACATACATAAACAAGCACTTTAATGTGGGAAAAAGCTATTGAAAGATATTATGTGAAGACAGAAAAGACATCAGCTTTTCTGGACTTGAATTTCTACTCTTTGCAAGCTCAGACATTGCTCATTGCTGCACATTGTTAATAAAGCTCTGAGCATGATATGTAGTCACACCAAGGTTACCAGTTTTGTAAGAAATCTTGCCTGAAAACTTTTCTTTGTAATTCTTTAGTGGTTTTGGCCTCCTAGACATTGGTTGCAGAAATAGCTGAGAAGGGACGTAACACGTTTTTTTCCCCGCACAGATAAAGCAGGAGAAATCTCACATGAAGACAGGGCTTGCATCTCAGGCTTTGGAGCATGTGACCTTAGAGGAGGCAGCTCAGAAGATAGACGACGAGGGGTACACACCCTTGCTTAGGTGTGCGGCCAACAGCTACCCTGTAAGTCAGAGTCAACTCACCAGTTCGGACTGCTGTTTGCCAGATCTGACGCAGACATGGACAGCCAAGTGGGCAACTGTTGACAATTTGAATTTGCCCCAGTGTATCTTTTATGACCTGTGGACAGTAGACAAACCTTGGGGTTGAAAACTGGCAGTTTTTTACACTTGCAAATTTCGACCCCATGCCAACCCTCCATCAACACCGAGATTGACCTCAACCCAGGTTGAAAAATTTTCATGTTCATTTCAAGCTCGGTTCGCACGAAACAAGTGTGCCGGGTTGAACGCCGGGTTGAACGCCAGTCATTGTTTCGCCCAGGGTTGATTTCAATTCTGGTTGAAAGGATTAAGTTTGATGAGGTACAGCAATAAATGACCTCTGTTAAACCAGAGAGAACCCTATGAACCAGACTCAAGTCTGAGTCCAATAGCAAACTCTGCATTTTGTGGACACCTGTTTCAAGCTTCCTTAACACATAAGTTCCTCCTCATTCACAGCGTAGATATGGGACTCATCCAGCTTTGTGTTTACAATAGCACATTTGAACTCACTCACATTCCTCACACAAATGTCCAGGGTTGGATGGGATTACCACAATTGTTTTACTCACTTTTGAGTTCAGCCAGAAGGATGGATATTGTCAAGAAGTAGTGTTGAGATTCAGATCAAGTCTATCTTGAGACATCTGCTGTGCTAGCAAGAAAAGACTGCAGGCTTTCAAATGTATATCGTAGAATCCTTTGAAGTGAATCCTTTGGATTCTACATGGCCTTAGAAATGTTGACAGAATGGGGAACAAGAGGGGAGATATCTCGTTAGCTTTTTTATGCCTGCGGGGAACATCTGCTCAGTGGCCTGAATATAAGTTGAAGAATTGCTTGCTGTCAGGCTGTCTTATGATTACGGATTTAATGACAGGTTTCTGCAAGTGTGTTTTTCATTATTAGTGTACTGTTGAATGCCATTATGATATGCTTTTTAAAATGATTTATTTGTAGAGCATGGATGACGAGCAAATAGCAAATGTGCTGAGTATGATGGAGGTAAGAACATCTTAGTTCAGGCTCTTAGGCTTAGATTTGGCCCCAAATTTGGTCAAGTTTGATGAAACTGTTGGTACATGTATATTAAAGCTGTGGGTGATTCCTGATGATGTAGGTAACTGACCCAAAAGTGGTTGCAGAACAGTTCGGTTAGACAAGCCCAAATGCCATCTGGCATCCAGTGATTAAAATTATAGATTTGTGTGATGATGTTTATTTCATTTTGATTTTGCACCAATAAACACAGACACTAAACTTAAAGACCAACTCCAACGATGTTGATTTTTCTCATTTTGACTCCTATTTGGAAGAGTCAAGTCTAATAAAAGTGGCACATATCAATATCTCCCTTGCATTACACGTTTTTGTGTTAATAAAACAGTTTTGTACCCATTTTTCCTGTGAGTCCAGTCCAATGAGTGTATTGTAAAAATGGACGTTCCGTCACGACTCATTAGCATCTAATGAATATTGATTTCTGTGATGTATTAATGTGGAGAGGAAATACCACAGTGCGTGCGCTATATGCATCCATAGCATGCATAGCTGCGGACGACAGCACAAACTTGAAGAATACTCTCATTCTTCAGAAATTCTAAGAATTTTGATCCCAATTCATTTGCAGAATTTCTAGTACAGCCACCAATGATGCACTACTTCAGCATTATTGTAAATCATGAAGAAAGAGCACAAATGCTTGATGGAAAATAGACAATGCAGCACATTAGACCCGGCACACAGAGCTATCCCTGGTACACGATGCACGCACATGTAATGCCATGTACATGTACATGGATACCAGTTTCAATGTTTTCTTTGGTATTACATCATACAAATTTCATTTCTCAACAGTGCAGCCTGCAGTCCGATTGTAGAAATTTTTCATGAAACTCAAAGTCACCTTTCAAAAGTTTCGGCAGAATGATTTGGTTATGAATATATGATTTATTACACACTAAACACAATAATAGATTATTTTCAAAACTTTTAAAACCATTGGAGTTGGTCTTTAAAATTCACTCTCCTGAAGGAAAGCAAGCAAACAAACAGACCTCACCCAGCTTCCACATCAAAACAAGGTTCATTGTTGCACCAAATAGTTGTGGCAATCTCCAGACCTGACACAAGAAGACCAGACGGAAGTCCATTCACAAGAGCTAGACCAGTCACAAATATTGATAACAGGGTGATTAATGACAAAAGGAATGCTCTTGATGCTCATTTGAATAATTTATTTATTTATAATTTATTATAATTTATTTCTTTGATTCAAACTGGCATGGAGACCTTGTATTGGTCTTGTGGGATTTTGTGCTGGTCTTAAGAGGCCTTGGCCGTTTTCCAAAACTCAACTTCGTCTCCGTCTAAGGCTTCGTCCCCGAAACCAATCCCGGATTGTGGGCCTGAGGCGTTTAAATAAAATTGGATTTCTGTAATTTTTGGCCCTCTTACATCATATTTGATATTTTTTGGCACTATTAGACTAATTATTGCGCTTCCAGCTTCAAAGTCAGGTTGTAAAAAACAGCTGAAGCCTAAGACGGCGCCAAAGTTAAGTATTGGAAAACGACCCGTGACTTCAGTACTGATTACTAGCTGGCCATGGTCATATATACTCAGATATGATCACTCTTTATCATGCTGTAACTCATTGTACTGTTGTCCTTGAGTTACACTGTACAGTCTCGCCTGTTCTTTAACCCTTCTCAACCTTCCAAGAATCTTTTTATGCACTTCAACCTCACACAAAGGCTTTACTTTGCAAACTTATCAAGACCAACAGATGGCAAGAGCCTGATAATCTGTACTTTGTTACACTATTTAGGCTCTTGTTGAGTTTGCCAAGTCCGACATCAGTGCTGTCGTGGCGGACGCAGATGATGACGAAACTCACAGTCAGTGTTTGTTGAGACTTATTTCATTTTTGGAAACCTTTTTGTAAATTGTAACACCATCATCTAAACATTGTAAACTGTAGTCACCTTGTTGCACTTGCCACTGTTAGAAAATTGCAGTCACACTGCTGTCTTAACAGAGTCTTAGAAGTGTAAGTGGGACCGGGCGCTGGTTATTTAACACAGTTTAAGGGTAAATAGTTGATTTTAGCTCCCTGAGGCATTGGAAGTTGACAAACCAGGTCCCAAGGGTTTTACCATACCTCAGACATATTTGATTGCCTTAAATTTCACTAAGTAGCTAAGCCATATATGTGACACCCTCTTGTCACGCGTAGAGTGCATGTTGGATAGCTAGTGCCATGGGCAGAAATCTCTCCTCGATCGTGGGGGGGGGCATCAATTCACACTCTGGTTGTGCACGCCGTGTTTATTATCTTATTCCATTTATAAAAACTGAAAAGGGAAAATCCTCCATCCATTAATTCCTTTAGTATGTTGTTTTGCTTCAAACATGGAGGGGACGTGGCCTCCCCCCGGATTTCCGCCCATGGCTTGGGCAATGCTTACACATGCGTACCATACAGGAACATTAACCCATGCCAGTGAGCAGTTGAGTACTCTAGCATATTTGAGTTGTGCCTGTTTCCTTGTGTTTTGGTAAACCGTAGAAACAGTGACAGGCATTTGGTGATAAATGAACCAGCGAGAGTTGTACTCTCAATTATGAATATATATACGAGATATGGTAATGCGAATTTCGTCATTGTTTGAATTATCATCTGTGGCAAGGGTTACACTTGGAGCGTAGTTGTAAAAAGCACTTTATTAAAGACAACCTCCTTTATGTGGCTTTTCAGGGCTTTGCAGTACACTTCATCTGGTTTGCAGCTCCACGCCTCTCCTGACATTGCTCTTGAAGTGGAAGCCCCAGCTGGAACTGTTCAACAAGGACGGCTTCACTCCGTTGCATCTGGCAATCAAGAGGGGCCAAAGGGAGAACACAGAACTACTGGTAAAGTGTGCAGAATGCCCTTGCTTTTAACATGCCAACCTTCCCAAATTCACTCTTGGAAGATAGCCATTGCGACAGGTCCTAGACCCAAAAAGGGCAACTCTAAAAAACTCATTTTGGAAGTTAGTCATTCCCTCGCGTCCATGATTAAGACCCAAAGAGGTTTGACAGGTCAAGGGTAATATGAAGCTCATTTCAGGAATAATCCACAGCCTTATCGGGCCTGAGACTCACAGTGACTTGATAGCTTGAGACTCAACGTCATTTCATTTGGGGGAATAAGTCAAAGCCTCAAAGTATCTATTGAGCATTTCAAATATCATTTGCAGTGTTAAACATAATTGTAATCGAGCCTATTATATGTCAAAAGTCCAAGTCGGCAAAGAGTCATATCACAGGTCTATAGTTACAGCTAACTTGAAATCAGATGATTTGTGATGTACTTATAACACGTTGACTATCATATTACTGTGGTAAGATAATGTTTATGTCTTGCTCGTTGGGGGGAAATAGTTCTCTCTCCTGTTTTTTTTGTAATTATAGTCTCTACTTGTGGTCTAGTTTATTTAACTCAGGAGAGTACATTTAGCGTAATACTGTACACCATGCTCTGTCGTATGCTTTATCACTTCTCTGAAATCTTGATGATGGTTCACTCTCTGGAGTAGGCTTCATTTTATTGTGAATATATTTAGCATGTGTGGCCACGCTGCGTTCTTTGTGAAGTGTCTGTGAAAGAAGCGTATTTGTAGCGCCTTCAATCACGGCTCGATCATAAGTGATAGGGGATGAAATATGACGACGTGGGCCTGTGCCAATGTTCATCAGAATCACTTATGTCCTGACCGCATCTGCTCAGTGAGGGAATAAGAGGTGGCATGTCTTTACGTATCACTGAGGGTCCTTTGATGAGAACTTGTCACGTGTGATCAATAGTTTTTGCATGTTTGGTGCATGAACCATGCTGAGCACGTACCACCAACATTTGTTGGAATGTTTAATCTCTGAGTGCACACCATATGCCCAGATGATCCCGATTCCCACCACATGGGGTACCATGCTTCAAAGTGGGGCTGATACTAGACCGTTTGTGATCTACTTTTAATTTTTATTCTTGATTGGCATGTGAATTGTCTTGTAATGGCTTTTAATGCAACTTTGCATACAAGTGTCCTCATTCATTGACTCTGGGGAGATGGCCTAGCGCCCTCAGAGGTTCCTTCTTTGAGCCAGTGAAGCACACAGATGAAGCTTTTCTGCATGTTTATTGAAATTCCAGCTGTTTGAATCTTCCCTATGATAAATCCAATTTTTTAATTTTTCCCACAAAACTTCATATTACTTAACATAAGTGTCTTAAGAATTCAACAATGACAATTTCACTGTAATTAAACAATTTGAAAGAACAAATCAATTCTCATAAATACTGAAGTCAGTCCTGATTTTCCCTTCTCATACCTTATCATGAAAGGCTTGTTTAATTTAGTTTGCACTTTACATTGTTCTCAGAGGAAATCCAGTTGAAGGCAATTACATTAACCAACTGTCGTTAGGCACGCATATCCAACACCAATATCAGTTTGGCGAAATTTCCCATTTTTGGGGCCCTTGGCCGGTTTCATCTCTGAGGGCACTATTCACGAACTCTACCCTCATCGTATTTATGGTGCTTGCCCTTTTCCATGTGCTCACCCAGATCAAGGCCGGAGCTGATGTCAATCAGTGCACAAGAGACGCCGACGGAGAGAAGAACACCCCCCTTCTGCTGGCTGCCAGGTCCGGTTCTGATTATATTCAGCACTTTACAGTCTTGCTGTCGTTTTTCAGATGAATCTTATCTCACGGCCTGGGAAAGGGGGTGGGGGGATTCCCCCACCCACCCAAAAAACTCATCCGTCCAATGCCCAATCTCTGTGAAACATTGCATGTAATTGTAAAGACGCTCTTTGAAAGCACATCTGTGAAGTTTCGGTTCAATTCAACATAGTTTTGTTGTTGCAGTAATCTTAGTTTGCCACCTCGTGCGTGTCTGCCCGTTGCATTGAGCGTGCCACTTGGAAAAGTTCACATTTTCGCTGAACTGTCTCGGAAGAGTTTTTCTTGAGAATGGTATGTGGGATTTCCCTAAAATTGGTGTCAAAATGATTGCAGTACATCAGTGGAAAAATTCCCTGAGGCTTGACGCAGAAGAAGGAATGCTTAGTGACCATGTCGGAGGATATGCCACAGGGATTTCTGTCCCCCTGGTTCTCTTAGGGTTAAAGATCTCTGTTCATAGCAACCTTATGCCATATTGGCCTTCAGTTTCTTTGAATAGAGCTTTTTGCTTTTCAAGCAAAAGTCAGTCTCACATGATTACAACATTGGTCAACTGTTCCTTATATCAAGCCATAAAGCCGGGTAGAATAGTGCTAAGTGATTCTTTTTGAAACATTTTGATAGACATAAGATGCATGATATGCTACCCATCTTGGTTGCCAGCGGTGCCAATATAAACGCTGTTGATGTCCGGACTGAGAAGACGGCCCTTCATTATGTGATGAATGAAGGGACAAGTGAGTACAGTTGTGCCGATCTTGTGAGAAACACATTACACATAGTCGTGTTATGATCTAGAAGGGAAGCCTAGAGGACAATGGATGCTCACACAGGTCTTGTGAGGTCTAACAGGATGTTGAGTTGCGTAACCCTTTGTTTGAATTTTGCATTCCTTTGGCTATGCTGTTTCACATTTCAGGTGTGACTGAGATCTTAGCCAATGCCAAAGTCCTCCTGGAGATCGGGGCCGACCCCAATGCCCTTGATGGCAAGGGCAGGACCCCACTTCACTATGCCGTCAACCTGGACACGGGAAGTTTTGACGGCTCCCCCAGTATCGCCGAGTTGCTCATCAAATATCGTGCCAACATGTTTGTCCAGGATGTCAGAGGCAGATTGCCCCTGCACTATGCATTTGTGAAGATGAAAAAGTGAGTATGCTTATGTGTTCCTAATTGGTGCAGCTCAGAATTCTGACTTCTGAGAAAAACTGACTTACAGCATGCAGATGTGTGGCTTTGTTTCTCAAGGGGCTTTCTGTTGCTTGCAAGAAGGCGGAAGCAAATCGCCAACTTGAGGGTTGCGTGGAAAACAGTTCTGTTGTCATGCTTGTGGTTTTTGTTTGATATGAAAGTTATTGGCTTGATGTGACAGTCAGGCAAAGGTGTGAGGCAAGGCGAGCTCCTTTGTCCTAACTTGTGCAAGGTGTGATAATGCACACGCTGGCTTTGGGGCCTGTCTGAGGGGTGTGCTGAGTCACTGCTTACACTTTGTGCTATGGAATCAGTGCACTTTATTACATTTAATTACATGTATTGACCGGAACCAGCTTTTATACATTGAAAATTGATTTAACTCTGCATTTCCACCCTAACATTTAGGTCTTACTAGTATCAATGGCACTGGTTTTATAAGTCAAAGACAATCTGTGAATGCATATGCGTACAGGGAGGAAAGCGGGTCAGAACCACTGCATATGTGGTGTATAAGGGAAGAAGTTGACCTACAAAGTCAGCTTTTTTGTGGATATGTCCATATGGACCTTCAGCAAGGCAGGTTTCTTTTTCTGACCAGTCAAGCTTTACACGGAATTGTTTATTAGCACTGACAAAATTTGTTCCAGCTGTGTGGTTTTCGGATACATGTATGCCTTGTTCACTGAAAATGTATTCCGTGGACAGTTCGGGACCATTTCCACTGTACTCACTTGATCAGGTGTGGAGACGTCTCTCATTTGTACACATTCTGTTGAAATTTTTGGAAGAGATTTACTCTTTGCCCTTCCCAGGTAGAGCCACTCTGAGTTTATCGTTCAGCCCAGGCCAGTATGGCACTGTGGAAAAATGTTTTATTTGTTAGGAAGTACAGAGCACATTGTGGTGAATTTGGTGTGTCTCCATGATTTGGGTTCTGGCCACGATAACTATTACATAATGTGTGTAGACCCCATGTCTGTGGAACAAAATTGTGTCCTTTAATTTGGGGGTTTTGCCCTGCCTGACTTGTATTGTAACACTGTACACCCAGTATTTCCCCCGAAAGTTTGTGAAAAAAATCCAAAATATGTATATTGTATACAGTGTTACAATACACGTCGGGCAGGGCAAGTATCCAAATTAAATTATCATCTCCTTGACGCAAATCCGTCCTCAGAAATAGTTGTTTGTGGTACCTGCTACTACATTTGACTCAAACAAGCCAGCTGACACTGGCAAGCTCGGTGGTGGTCGAGACGTCTGCAGTAGTAAACAGGAAGTTGTGGGTTTGAGTCCCACCCGAGCACACTTGTGGGTATTTTCACAAGCTTTCGGGAGAAACACTGAGTATACAGTGTTACAATACACGTTGGGCAGGGCAAAAAAATCCACAGTTACATTAACATCTCCCCAACACAAATCCATCCTTAGATATTGTAACATTGTGTCTTTTTTGTTATATGAGTGATTCAAATGAACACAGTAATTAGCATTTCCCTGACCTTTTTCCCAACTTTGTCGATTTGAGCATGTGCGCTGTTAAAACAGTGGAAGTCCGGAATCCTCCAATTTTATCATAATATTGCACACACTCTGGGGAGTGTAAGGGTAAAGAACTCCACTTGGGATCATGCGTTCTGTTGTCACTATCATCTCTTAAATGGTCACAGGCACCGAGACAAGACTCAGACAGACCCTATCGAGATTGTGACGGTGCTCCTGGGTGCCATGAAGGGAAAGCAGGTGGACACCCAGGACAAGTTTGGGCAGACTCCCCTTCACTGGGCAGCCTACAGGGGGTCGACCATCTCAGCCAAACACCTTGTGGAAGTGAGTTACCCTTGCCAGTTAAATGTTTGTCTGGGTTCCTGGGTGCTTCGACTGCTGAAAAGTTGACCTCTGTCGGATGAGGCCTTGGTCCTTCTCGTTAAGTTGAGGACTGTGAATATGCAACTGTCCACTTTGGGAGAGGACATCCGAGGGTATTCTTTCATTCCAAGACTATCACAGCTTAAAATTTATCACCTAGTTGGCCAAATTTTCTGCCAAGCCAGATCAATGCAAATTTGACGGCAAAGCACATTTCTGGGGGGGGGCAGATGTTTCAATAAAACTACTTTGTCCCTTTGAGAAGAAACTTGTACAGTTTTAAAGTTGTTCTGGTGACAGGCAAAGGTTTATTCTGAACCAAAAGAAACTGTTGACTGGCTTTGCCCTTTTTCTTCTTCAGAAAAGCAAGAAGTTGGACATTAAAGACAATCACAGTAACACGCCCCTAGCTATGGCTGTACTGGGAGGCAATGACAGGTAAGTGATGAACAGGGCACTCACATTCACCTACATGACCCAACGTATGTCCACCATTGTCATTGGCAAGACTGCCGGACTATTTAGGCTGTTGATGAGCCTACAGAGTTTTTATGAGTTGCAAGAGGTATGAGAAAAATATGACTGTCACTACAAAATGAGCTGAAAGTCAGAATTTTCAAAACTTGAGATCTTGGTATCTTTGAATTCAGCAGAAAGAGCTTTCCAATGTCATGTACATGGAACACTTAGGGCAGAAGTATAAGGTGACAATGTGGCATTATTCTGGCAACTTTTCGTCGGTGTTTCCGACATTGTTCCAACATTTCTGACCAGGCACGAATAATGCTATCATCAAAATTGCTGAGAAAACATTTTATCCCTAACATCCTAAGGTGTATGTAAAATCGTATTGCAATTGGAGGATTTGGGACTGTTAGGGTTAACCATATGATCCTGCACTATGTTTGGAATTACATAAGAAACAGGTTGCTCTTTCTAAATATTAAAAACCCGAAAATTTACCGCCACTTCAATATGATGTTGAACCCTAGAAATAGGAAGGGAGTGGGGTGCGACATTACTCCCATTTTGTCACAACAGGTCACAAATGACAATGGTACGTGGCATAGATGGTGACCATCATGCAAGTTGATAGAAATCAGTTATTTAAATGAATATAAGCCTATAGTTACAATGTGCGATGTGCGAGGCCCAATTTACACACTGTTACTTGACAGTTAGCATGAAAGCTATGCCTACTGTATCAGAAAATAACACAGCAATGTAAGCACTACATGTGTATTAACAGTTACCCGTGCATGAAGATTTCTATAGTAATGTCATAAAATTGGGCCAGGTTGCATATCTAACACTTGCCTACTGCAGTGGGCGCCAGTCTTGGGGAAACTGTGTGGTCACATGGTACTGTGACATCTTTGATCATCGGCCCCTGTAAGAAACAATTATCCTTGTGTTTTTCACCAAGCCTACCGACACCATTTGAAGTTTTAAATCACTTTCCCCGTTTATTTTGGGATGGTCCAAAATGGTCCTTGTCTTTTGCATTGTTGGATTGTGATATGTTGATGTTTTTGTTATTTCTTTTCCTGTTGATGGCACTTTTGCCTCATTGTCTGCCACTTTTCTGCAAACCCCTTCAGCCTCATCCTGATAATTTTTTACAAAAATTGATTGAAAAGTAGTTTTTAGGCTTGTCAGCCGCACACGTTATAGTTGCCAAAGAATTCAAATAACGTTTTCTACATCATATTGCCAAAAGAAGGTTTATTTAACCCCCTGAGTGTATGTGATGCACAGAATTCAAGGCTGAGAATGTTTGACAGTTAGGTTTTCCTCATACATGAAGTCTTGCTTGCTTCAAAGACCAAGATTCAGCAGCCCAAATAAAAAGACTCAATTTTCATTTTTTCCCCGGGTTTATTCCAACACAACTTTTCAACAGCAGTATGTTTACAGCAGTACCGAGCAGCAGTTCTCTTCAGTGAGGTTGTGAGGTTCTGTAAAGAACCTTACTCAGAAAGTTACAAAAGAGAAATGTCACAGGTTGCTACTGCAAACTTCCTCCTGTTGTTTTAATTAACTTCGCCTTGCAAATCTTCAAACAAATTTTTCAGTCCATTTGTGGTCTTTCCATCCCAGTGTGGCTATCATTCTGATTGAGGCCGGAGCGAACATCAACCTCACTGTCACCTTTGTCCCGCCGTCGCTGGAAGACCCGGCCAAGGGTCAGAGGGAGAGCAGGAAGCTGTGGGTATGGAAGCCCCTGGTCAAGCCCCGGCCTGTTCCCATTAAGGCCCCATTTGTCCAGGCCGTGGTGGCGGAGGGCTGGCAGAACGTCATCTTCCTGGTCATGGCACGGCTGGAGAAATTCCAGCTCTCTTACATCTGTGTCATGCAGGTTGGTGTCAGCAGCTTGCTGTGTAAAGTCGGTAGTGTTGCAATTGTAGGTAGTGTAGGAAACAGGTTCTCTGATGAAACAAAAAAAAGGTATTTCCAAGTAAATAAAGGAATCGAAGAAATTGAAAAAATATCTCATTTAACTTGCCAATTATGCCTTACCCAAAACACATCAACAACCTCTAGATGTCCGAATGAAATCAGGCTGCATTCTACAATGTACATTGATGCAGCCTAACTTTAATTTAAACAGTCAAGCACAGCTTCCTTTAAAAACGTTCTTTTGCATTGTCTGAAAGTTGCAACATATATTGTAAGTTGTCCAATAATTTGGAACCAGTGACTGATGTCTGTCGTCAGGTACTTGACATTGGTGTTGCATGGGAGGAGGGAGTAACCAGGCAGGTTGACCCCATGGGAAAAAAGTGGGAAAAAAGAAAGGAAATGAACGCAAAGAAAAAGAGTGCCAAAAATGAACAGAGGGAGGAAATGGGATAAAAATCACAAGTTTGCTTAAAAAACCTTGACAGTGACCCCGTCCACTGTAAATGGTGTATTATTTTGTTGCTGGTGAGTGTTGGTCCCTTTCTCCACCCCTAAAAATCTTACCCCTAACATGAAAGAACTCCTGGTGACATTCGTGGTACATGAATCTGGGTTTCCGATACACCCCAATGCAAAGCCAAACGAAAAGGGAAAAAGAAACAGGTAGAATGTTCCCAATTGATTTGGGGATTGCAACTTTTGTTTTGGTTACCTTAACCAGGCCATTTTTGAGTCTCAGAAACTTCAGCTTGCCAGCACCATGCTCCTGAAGCAGCCTGATGATAAGAAGGTCCAGGCCACCAATAGCAGGGGCCGTAACTTCCTGCATCTGCTCTCCATACATGCCGACTCCAGTGATTCGCTTGATCTCTATGAGCAGGTACGTTATGCACTGGTCTGATTGATGCTGCTGGGAACTGCAGAATGGAATTCGAGAAAAGCCGTGGTGTTTTTTATTAAGGCCCTCCAATCGTGAAAATCAGTTTTTGATACCTGGTCAGTTTTGTAAAATTTCATTTGGATATTTTCAGTAGAAGGTGTAAAATTTGTGCTACGCTCATTTTTGGCGCAGGCAACTGTAATAACATTATGGCGTGGTGTTTCCCTGGACCTAACCTCACTTCAAGAGTCGAGTCTGAAACCGGTTGGGGTCACGACTCTAGCCTAAACTCGGGTTCCTCCTTGGTCCAGAGATCACTCAGAGCAACCGAAAGGCTAAGGGAGCAGATCCATTATGGTGGAAATATACTGCCGATTATGATGACTGTGATGCTCTCTGCCAATTAGACAATACACAACAACAAGGACACCTGACAATTTAGATCGCTGGTAACCTCAATAACAAAGTGATTTATTCAGACATTCAACGAATAATTAATTGATCAAATGATAAATTTTATTGGGTAAGCTTTATTACAACCTCTGTTGCTTTGCATGGTCTTGAAGAGAGACCAATACACAGCTAATACCGCACTGGGTCACGCCAGTCAGCAACGTACTGACTGATGTCGCCTCACGCAACTCCTATATACAGTGTGCAAACTACTACTGCATCACATGAATGCTATCGCCAATGCACGTCCAGTGTTGCCCAACATGAAACCAATAGCCAACGCTGGACCCAAGTCGTACTGCACAACTCAATATGGCACTGCTTAAACAACATTGCATTGAATATCCCAGTGTCACTGTAGTGATACGGCCCACATGCACCAAGCGCCACGCCACCGTGGGCCCAGCCCAAATTTACTACAATGTACTCGCAAGTGAACGGCTAGACCGTACAACCTGTGTACCGTACCTGCCACATGGAGACAGTCGGGGCGCGCCTAGCATATAGCAGCATCACATTGCCCTATAGCAACACATGCCACAGCGAGAGCACTAAGAACTCACGTCTTTACAGCTTTGCTGCAACTAACAAGAACCCAGAGCAAGCTCCGCCCGCTTATGTGCTCGCACATTGCATAGATCACGCGCAAACCAAGGAGCTTACTACATACACTGAGGGCCATGCTCCGCCCAGCCTGTGTATTTCACAGGACATGTCCACACAAACTTAAGAAAGTTCGTACACTCTCCGCTACAAAATAAACTGAGGTTTATCAACGTGTGCTTTAATTCATACATTTTCATCTTCATTTCTCACTTTTCTTTGGATGTTTCATAATTATAAAAGAATGATTTGTTTTGTTGTATTTGGTAACCTTTACTGTTTTGCTGTTAACGTAAAGGAGGCTTATATAAATTCACATTAACCCTCCTTTTGTTGTAAACGTCACGATCAGTCAAAAAATCCTTCCACTTAATTTCTCCCAGTACACAGACACATATGGGAAATTTGACAGGTTTTGACTGATAGGACAACTGGTTCAAAATTGTGTCTGCAGAGGAGGGTTAATGATCAATGTACAATATATTGGCTTTCACAAGCATTTCGCGTATGTCCTGACTGTGCTGAATGTGTTTGAGGATGTGTAGAAAAAACCCATCCATCCCCATCCCAGAAGGATGGGCTACCTTTCCCCAGTCACATTTCAGAACGCTTGTCACTTTCAGAGCTTGAAAATGCTGTAGGACATCACTTGACGGCACATATGAGTCAACTTTTAGCTGTTTTGTGGCATCACGCACACACACAAAATTAGCAATTTTTGTGATGGTAACTCTTTGGAGTATTTTAAACATTCCCGACACAATTAATTTTACCTTCAGATTGCCATCCCCTTGCTAGAAAGAGGCGTAAAGCTTTTTGCCAGGGATGACAAGGGTTGTACCCCTCTCCACTACGCAGCCGCCAACCAGAATGCGGCTCTCTGCAAGCTCTTGGCTGGTAAGTCACCTGACTGAGGTCAGGGGGGAGGATTTTCCATCATTGTCAGTGCTGTGTTAGAAATGGCAAGAGGATTGCATTACTTGATCATCGCCTTGACATCACAAACATTTCTGGTGAGAGGTCATGAAAATTGACTACAGTATGAAGGTGATTTTCTGAAGAAAAAAAAATGGTTTCCACAGAGAGGGACGAGGCTAATTTCAAGAAGTCTCTGAATTGCAAGGATGGTAGAGGGCGCACTCCGATGGCAGCAGTCTTCTGGAACATTGGCTTTGACCTGTCCACCATGGCAGTCATACGGTAAGGCAAATGATTAGGGCCATGTTCAAACAATGATCATTTATCAACCAGTATTCGATTTTGCTAAGTGCCGAGAGTACATTTTGGGCACAGGTTACCAGGGAAAATTGACCATTGGTAAACAAACGGTCATTGCATGCACCCGGCCTGTATTTAAGGTGCTTGCCAATCACTGCACATACAGCATGCATGCACTTTATGCACCCATCATTTAACCTGGCCTTTCCTATTTCAACTTGCTGACCTTCAGAGGCCAACAGTTTTCCATGAAGATGTCAGCACACTGAAAGAAACAGTAGCCTGACCCATTGTGTAGAGAATGTATCAAACAAGAGGGAGTAGTGTACATTGGCATTGCATTTGTTATGCATGCATTAAAAAATACCATACAGTGACTGCGAACTTCATGAAAGTGCTTACCCATCCAACATCAGCTTTAGCTGATCATCGTTGCCTGGTGCCTTGCAATGATGTTAAAGGAAGACCTCTAAACTTTTGAGACTTATAGCTATCTGATCTTCCCCGCCTCGACTCCCCTTCCACGGAAGCCTTCTCTTCATCTCTCACCAATCCAGACTCTTCACCAAATTCAACGCCTCACTGGACCTCCAAGCCCCCCTGCCGGACGTCCAGGCGCGCGTCCCCCAGCAGCGAGCCGACACCCTGGACGCCTGGTACCACGGCTCCCCGGCCAAGTCGGCATCCCGCACCCCGCTCATTCTCTACATCCACACCAACGACTTCCACGGCTGCCAGTTCCTGCTGCAGAACGGGGCCAGCTGCAACTACGCCGACGAGGACGGCCTGACGCCACTCATGCATATTGTCAGGCAGGTAAATGTATGATTTTGACGTCATTTATCTTTAGCTGTAGAATTTTGTTTAAAGAAAAGGAAAGAAATTTTTGACAGAGTGCACACTTTCATGTTCTCCTTAGGCCAACCCCGTCACAGCCAACGTGAACTTTGCTGGTTGGCCCACGCTGTTCTTGGTTTGTTAGAGGTATACATGTATATACCTGGAGGGGCAGGTAGACTGTTTCCCAGTCCCTTTGTCATTCTTGTAATAATCATGGAGACGGGGAACCAGGTGGTCAGCCAATCCTTTTTCCTGTTCTCTGATAACAGGGTCCTTGTTCACAGACTATTGTTGCCATAATTTGACTGAAAATGACATATAGTGTACTTTTTCACTTGTTTTCAGGAAATGGGACAGCGCATTATCATAGTATTGCCAATATTTTGTCAGGAGGAGGTGTCTCAAAAATGGAATAGTATAGTAGTACAGTAATAGTATTGCTTGTTTACGTTATCCTGCATTATGGGTAGGGCTGAGTTCATTTGAATAAGTCACTATTCGAATATTCCACCTTCAATTTGATTGAATATCCAAATATTTGGTCTTACTGACTGACAGATTTTTGATGAACAAACCATATATAGAAAATCAGTTTCAGTAATGCACACAGTTGTACATTATAATCACTGTAATAGTTTCTCATTTCTACGAGTATCTCCAGTCACAATTTAGCAAGATTTAAGAGACGAACAATACTTTTTGCCCTGTTGAAAATATCTATTCCTTTTAAATTTTTTAATGAATCATTTACTTTTTAAGTCAGTAAGATTTCTGTCACTTTTCATTTGAACCTGCTTGAAACAAGACTCCATAGTGCAGTTTTTCTCATTTTAAACCCCCACAAAAATTGTCCCTTGCTTTTCATGAATTTTGTATTTCAATATTCAAATTCAGAAAATAATATTCAAATATTCAATAATTAATCAAATATTCATATATTCGGCACAGTCGTAACCATGGGCTGTTGGGATTTATCATTCTTTGAGCAGGCAGGTCCCCTTCCATAGAAAGAGCTCGTTACAAAAGTTTGTTTGACATCAGTCTGGCTGAAGTCAGTTGGAATGAAACAGCCATGCATCTATTCTGAACCAGAAAAATATTGTTTTGTAGCCCCGTTTGAGTGCAGAGGTCTTGAATGCATGCATATTAACACTGAATTTAAATTTGATTGTACAGTTTGGTTTAAGAAACAAACAACATGAAGTATTCGCATGTTGCTTTCATTTTGTCTTGTTGCACAGAATGAGCTGGATCTCTTGCAACTTCTCCTGAACAACGACTTTGAAAAAGCCTTTGTCGACTGGTCAGCTAGGCGGATCCAGGAAAAATCTCTCTCCACCTGGGCTGTCAATCTGTGGGAACAGAGAAGTGAGCACGTGCAGGATCCTGTCATTTTATTGGTTGCACCACGAAATGACGTGTGCAAACATTTTTATATGCCATGGAGTGATGCAAAGTCCAGAAACTTTGCCCACACAGTGCATCAGTCCCTGTTGTGGCAACTATCCATGATATGTCAATTTGTGATGCAACCAACAATTTATATAGGTGGGACACATAATGGAGCCCGCTGTTATCCATACGTTGGGGGATTTATCATGAATAGAGAAGGGCATTGGCATTTCTTTCCACATCAGGCCGTCTGTAATTAGTGTTATAACACCTCACCCACAGATTCTGTATCTTGATTGGCTGAAAGTACGCCATGTGATGTTTGCTACTTATAATTAAAAAATTGCTTTCTTGTCATCTTAAGGTTATCATTTAGTTTTCATTTTTTCTTGGCAGGAAATTCTAGACAGGGTTGCTTTTTCCTTTGTTGGAGCCAAAAATAAGGGCCGGTCAGAAAGGAGAACCATAGAATTGGCTCCTGGTGCTCTTACATATATCTGTTCCTCCTACAAGGATTTTTCAAATGGCTTGATGCAATCTAGCCTGGAGTTAAGGGCATGAGGTGTTGCTTTAGTATTTAGACATGCATGTATTAGAAGAGATATTTCAAAGGATTGGTTCAGCAGATGACACATACAGGACGGTCAAGGAATGGAAGGCCTCAGCAAAGAGCTCAAACAGTTGACCCTATGGTAAAAGGGGTATTTGATTCACACAGTTATTGTACCTCGGAGAAACATTTAACTTTTTTATTGAAAATTCAAGGAAAACAATAAATGTAGCATTGTGTTTTTAAGTCCAGGCGTGTATCCACCTCGAGCAGAAGCACCCCCTCATCGGTTGAAAAAAGTCATGTTGGTCGGGAGTATTCATTTTTTTGGTAGCGATGCGGCCATAATGTGTGCATTTCCAAGTCATTCCTGAACCAGCGAAGTTCAGTTTTAACCAAAGGAGCCTTGGTTGCCAAGAAAATAGCGCCCTCTCTTGGTCCAGCACAAGATCCTTAGACTGGACACACTAGA